ATATATTTGAATATTGGTACGATACATGTTTTTTCAATCAATGCCTTCATCCCTCGTGGTAAAGTAATTGACGTAGCAACTTGTGCGCAAACTCAATTGGCTCTATTACATTTTAATCAAAGTAGGCTACATGGTCATTCGGACAAATTTTTTTACAGAGAACGAGAGAAAAAGAAAAAATTATCAAAAGATTTATTCTAATAAAATTACAAATGAGCGGAATCGTTGAAATTATTTTTTCATCGAGAGTTTGCATGCTGTTATCTTCAATGAAATGATTATCATTTTTTTTTACCGAGCTAACATAACAAACAATACGTTAGATAGAATGTTCTTATCTAACATAATTGCAACATATTATTGAAAAATATTGATTTTGTCATTTGACGAAACGTTTTATTTATAAAAACAATATAAATAATTTTACAGGCACGTTATATCTCTAGGTTATACGGTTCAAGTTCATCGACTGTTCAAATGTATATCGACGGACAATTCGTGGGTAATTATTCTAATTAAATGTTAATTTATTTCATTGTTAACGAATGTCCACCATTGTTTTTTAAATTCGATTCATCCCTTCAAACGAGAAAAAAATAATATCACAATTCGTCCGCGCGAAAAATAATTAAAATAATTATTAATATATATATATATTTTTTTTTTGTTTATAAACGAAATATACAGTCGTAATAAAAAAAATATTTAAAATCAATTAACTGAAAAAATTTGAAAAATTCTGTTCATTACTTTCGACTTGGTGCAGGAATCTTCTTTACCGATATATCGCGATCTCTTTTTCAGAATCAAAGGCGACAGAATTCACGGATGTTCATGATCCAGCAACGAACGAACTTCTCTACCGTACTCCAAAATGTACGAAGGAAGAAATGGAAAGGGCTGTCGAGAGTGCGAAAAACGCTTACCAGAAGTGGCGTAACACTAGCGTACTCACCAGGCAAAATTTAATGCTCAAGTATCAAGCTCTTATACGAGAGCACTCGGTTCGTTTCTTATTTTTCTCTTCTTCATATTAAAATATATATATATATATATATATATACATAAATACAAATAATAATAATAATAATATTAA